CCTCACAATCCAGACTGTTGGCTCCCAACTGCTCACCTGCCTGCCTGCATGATTGCCCCTAACTCCTTCTGACTGCCAGCCTGATCACCCCCTAACCACTCCCCTGCCAGCCTGATTGATGCCTAACTGTTCCCCTGCCAGCCCGATAGCCCCCAACTGCCCTCCCCTACTGGCCTGGTCATCTCTCACTGCCCTCCCCTGCTGGCCTGATCACCCACAACTGCCCGCCCCTACAGGCCATCTTGTGGCGGCCATCTTGTGGCCACATGGGGGTGGCCATCTTTGACCACATGGGGCGGCCATCTTGTGGCATCCATCTTGTGGTGGCCATCTTGTGTGCTGGAATGATGGCCAATTTGCATATTACCTCTTTATTATATAGGATATCTTCCTATGCTCCATGCACAGTGATATTTTCTATTTAGTTTTAAAATAATGCTGGGCATGACTCATTTATTTTAAGAACCACTAAATGGTGAAAACCCACAGTTTGAAAATCACTGCTGTAGGAGAACATGAGGAAATACATTTTATAAATTGTAAAGCACTACTGAGATGTGAGCAGCTGCTACTAAATATCCACCAGGTTAAGACTTTTTGGGCCTGAAGACAACTTCTTTTTCCTTGGGTACTGCAAGGGGCCACATCACCTAGGTTCTGGTAAGGAAGTTAGTATTCACACTGACTTTTGTCATTGAGTCAACTTTCTAATACTCAGAATGAGAACTAGAAAGCAAGGCATTAACCAGGTCAAAATCCAAAGAAGGGAAGACAAAAAGGAAAGTAAAATATAAAAGTAAACATCTGATTAGTGCCTTATGGTTTATAAAATATTTTAACGCACATGACTCTCTCTCTCTCTCTCTCTCTCTCTCTCTCTCTCTACTATATATATTAGAGGAAGGGGAAGGGGAGAGAGAGAAACATCATCGCCTGCCTCCTGCACGCACCCTGACTGGGGATTGAGCCCACAACCTCGGCATATGCCCTGACCGGTAAATGAACTGGTGACCTTTCGGTGCACAGGACAACACGACCAACTGAACCACACTGGCCAGGGCACACGTGATCTCTTTTAATTGTAACAAGCCTAGGGAAAAAATAACGCGAACAGGTTGAAACCTGCCTAAGATGAGACAGGTCACCTGATCCTAAGTCCTTCGCTCTACATCACACCAGGGAAGCAAAGTGACCAGGACATGGCCAGTTGGTGTGGGGCATGGCCAGCTGCCCGCAGTAGCCCAGTTACGTTCTGATTCTGCTTGTGCTGAGAAGTCAAGGACCTCAGCTTTCCATTTCTATGTGTTCAGAGTTCTGTTGTCTTGGTTAGGGATAAACTCAGAACTCAGGTCAGACGGAAATTAATACCAGGGATCTGTTACCTCTGTCCCTCTGCCTAGGCTGACTGACAATGGTCAGCTTCGGTCTTTGCTCAGCTTCCTCTGGGGAGGACAGCCTCAGCCTTTGTCCTTGTGTGTTCATCTTTCTCCTCTGTAACCCTCCCCCCCCCGCCCCCAAATCTCTAATAAAAAAAGACTAAACAAGTACCCATCCCTGCCAACTCCTGTCCAAACTCCCATATCCCCTTAATGTAGGCCGCTCACCTTGTAGTCCTGCTCCACCTCCTCCAGCGGCACCACGCTGTGCTGCTCGTGGCTCCGGGACTCCCGGCACACCACGCAGATGGCCTCCTCGTCCACCTCGCAGAAGAGCTTCAGGGCTTGCTGGTGCTCGGAGCAGACGCCGTGCTCGCCCTCCAGGCTCGCCGAGACCAGGTCGGGGTGCAGGTGGCGG